CCACCGAGGGATCGCGTCCCAGGAAGCGGCGGAACACCTCTGCTGTTGGCACCGAGCCGCCGGAACTGAGGAATGTCTGCTTGTATCGCTTGCCCACGGCCGCATAGTTCTCGTCGCTGCGTTGCGCCGCAAAGCTGCTCGAGATGTCGGCGGCAATCATCTTGGAATACAAATGACTGAATTGGGCGGCTGCCCAGTCGCCGGAGAATATGTCAGTCATGGAGCAGGGGTGGGCATCCTTCTTGTCCAGCGGCATGCAGTGGTAGACGGGCCAGAGTTTGCGCACGATGTCCAGCCAAAAGGCATTGGAGCGATGCAGCTCCAAATCGAGGTCGGCTAGATATAGCTCCTGGCAGAGCTGATACCCGCCCAACTGGGTCTTCAGCAGCGGCATCTTCTGGGACAGGGCAGCGTCGATGGGCTCGTCGCTGGCATAGTGGCCGGAGAGACTGCGCAGGACGGTGGGATCGTCGAGGAAATTGCTCATCACATAGCCGGACACTTGCGACGCGTCCCACTCGATGTTGGAGAGACCGGCCAGGTCGCTGTAGCCAGCCTGGGTGAGCAGATGCTGCAGTCCGCTGCCAAAGGTCTTGAACATCATCTGCAGGTCGTCGTAGCTGAGGAGCGGCACCTTGCCCTGCACAGGATCAGCAAAATTGAAGATCAGAGCGCAGAGGGGCGTGAGACCGGCTGACTTATTGCTGTTCCGTATGCCCACCATCCAGCCATTGTTCCGACCGAAACGGTGCTCCTTGGAGAAGCAGTCGACATAGAAGCCACCCACGGGAGTCGAACCGTTGCTTACGTCCCCGTCGAAAACGTCGTAGAACTTGACGGCCGGATGCCAGACCTCAGCCTTAGGGTGCTCCACAATGCGGATGTTGAACAGCTTCTCGCTGAGCGAAAAGAGCCCCGAAATGACGCGCGGCAGGGGGAAGAACTCGCTCAGCTTCTCCTCCTGCAGATTGTGCTCGGCCACCAGCTGCTTGCGTCTCCAGTAGCTCACATCGTAGGCATCCAGCTTGTAATCGCAGCCGCTGTCCTTGGCAAATTGTTGCAGCTTCTCGAGTTCCACGCTTTGTGCGGGACCCGCGAATTTCAGAAGCTTGGCGAAGATCTGCTTCAGATTGTCGATACTGCCGACCATTTTTGTCTGCATGGACATGTCCGCGTATGTGGGGTAGTCGAGAAGGTTGGCCTGCCGGTGGCGCAGGCCGCGGATCTTCTCCAAGTGCGTGCTATTCTCCAGGGCCTTGTCCTGCTGCGCCGATGCCTTCACGACATTGGCCCGCCACACGTTCCAGCGCTGCAGACGCTCCGGACAGTACTTGAGGAAGCCCTCGACTATCTGCGGCTGCAGCGTCACCTTCCAGGGGCCCTCCAGCGGCTGGCTGGGATCGCGCGCCGTAGCCTCCAGCAATGCGGGTGGAAAATCACGCACCAGCTGGAAATCGTTCACGGCATGGCCGAACGAGTGCACGGCCATGGTGACCTTGTTCTTGTAGCTGGCTCGCTCGCGACCCAGCTGCGTCAGCAGCTCCTTGAGCCCGTCCTGCGAGTCCTTGCTCAGCATCAGGCCATTCAGCTTGCCCTCCAGCAAGTACTTCTGACGCATTCGCTGCTCACTCACTCCAGCGGCGGCCACTCCATCCTGCTGAAGCAGCGCATTGTAGACAGTCTTGTTGCAGTACTTGGCGGCGCGTGCGTTGCGCGCCCGTTCGTGTATGTTCATGTACGACTTCGTGGGGATCAGCGTACTGTTGCCCAAGTAGAGGGCCTTGGCCACGCCCCAGGTCGTCTCCAGAGGTCCGGTGACTGCATCAAGCTCCCCGAAAATGGCCGCACTGTCGATCCGCTTGCCACTCTTAATTTCCTGCTCCAGAGCCTTGACAGACTTCTCGACGGCCGACGCCTGCTGTCCGATGGCTCCCAAGCACATCTCTATGGTTATGTCACTGAATGCAGGCAGTCCATCCGGCTTCAGCACGCCTTCGCCCAAGTGCCCTTCCTCGCCGATTTCGGGTACACTAAAGCGCGGGGTAAGAAGAGGTCGTTTCAGTATTTGGGGACTACTATTATAGAACTAAATACTTACAGCACGATGTAGCCCGGCCGGCAATGTGAGGTGTGCAACAGACTGCGCTGAGCGGCCTGCGCTGGGCAGAGGAACAAGCGACGCTGTCGCAAAATGTTCATCATGTTCACTTATGCAATTATTCAGCTAGATATTTACAAATCCTAAATGCGTATTCCCGAATTTATAACAAAAAAAAAAACGCTGGGGCCCAGGCGTAGAGTGTCAAACAGTGTGACCGCGGATTAGTCGTTAAAATATACCGTCTCATTTTAAAAATATACCGTAAATATACTCTTAGCCATGCCCACATAATTTTATCCAATTAATGAACCTATTTCTAATTGATTGGCTTAATTTAAACACTTGTTTTTGTTGTATTTCTATATACCTTTGAAAATTAAGTTTAATAGACTAATGAAGTTGGCAAAAATATACCATTATATACCGTAAATATACCGTCGGTTCAATTTTGACCTCAACAAAGACAGAAAAGTATTCAGTTGACAGCTGCCAAGGCTGCCATTGCCGCCGATAAGCAATAGAGATGGTAAAGTGGATTTTTATAAATGTCCTTATGACACTAGACTAGTATGCCTAGATTAAAAGTGGCTATCTACTGGCGAATATCCGGTGAAGAAATTTGTGGATATCTACGTTTAGTTTTTAATTTAGATTAAGCTAAATTTATTTAATTGCCAATCAGTTTTGAGTTTTTAATTTTTTATTTTTTACTTTTTTTTTATATGCCGAGCATAAGATATACACAAAGAAAATTGAAATACGAATTATATAAACTAGAATTAAAATCAAACTGTAAATTAGCTTACAAAGTAATCCAACTTAGAGTTCATAACGGATGCAATTAAAAGAACATACATAAATTAAATTTTTAACATTCTAACATATTTGGAGCATTCGCGTTGCCGTCAGTCGATTCGCCCTCCGATGTGGACGTAGTACAAGGCTTCGAATCATTATACTGTGAGCTGCGTCGCCGCTTCAATATTTTTCCGGGAGACGGCGGCGATGGTGGGGGGCCAGAAGAGCTGCCGGAACTAACCAGATGACGGAAATTGTAGTGTACCCAATCGCGGTAATTGATCACCTGCTGGGGGACTTCTACTATGCTATCCAGGATGGGCCCAGTTATCCTTGTCGGGTCAAGGTCCACCAGGCGGGATAGCTTCTGGAAAGCAGCTTCGAACATTTTCATTACACCCAAGGCTGCGTACGAGCTGCGTCCAATGTCGTTTGATGGTGTGATCGGGTCCTGAATACTTAAAAATGACTGCCAGTTATAGTTCCCCATGGTAGATCTCAGTTGTTCCTTCGTCTCACAGCCTCCCTTGCCGGTTACCGAAATCGCGTACTTGTTGAAGTCAAATTTGCGGCCATAGTACTCCAGGAACTTGAGCAGCAATATCCCCAGCCTGTTGTTATTGTTGTACTTTAGGTTGTTTTGCGATTGGTGCTGGAGAAAGCCGATGCACATGAGGGTAATGCCGTAGGAGGAAATGCCTCCCGAGCGATAGACATCGTTCAATCCATGCATAGCCAGGAACTGCTTCAGGACCATAACTAGCTTTGGCAAATCGGGAAACTCGTGAATTAAGTCCTTGATCAGCTCGGCTGCCTTCACGCCGGATCCCACATTGAAGCTAATATCGAATTTGATTTGCGACACGCGCTCCGTGAACTTGACCACGGGGACTGCAGCTGTGTCCACCACGTTGACTGTTTGCGGATCCGCGACTCCGCGTGCCACAAGCTCACTCTCCAGCTCGTACAGTGGAGGATTGTACCAGTAGCTCCTACGGTTCTCGACGACCAGATCAATGTCCGAAAGCGGCAAATTCAGCCCGGTGCGAAAGGAGCCAAACACTTCGACACTGGCTCCTGGCCATATGGAGACCAGCATATCTTCGATGCAACGCACTGCTTCGGCGCGCAGATAGAATTCCGTCGCTGTGGATTGGATAAAGTTGTAGAAACGTTCTATTTCCAAATGCAGCAGACTGAGCGCCGGAGTCCCATTGCCGTATAAGTTGTTGGCTAAGCGCCAAGGCTTCGCTGGATTCTCCGCGTCACACATGACAGATAGAGGTCCTTATTCTGCCACCAAAATCCAAGCCGTCTTCCAGAAATGTTATACTACTTATCCACCTGCTTGTTGTTTTCACCAATTTTTTTTATACGAATCGAAGCCGAAGCAGCGAAACGGCAACAGAATGAGAAAGAGATGCAGATAGGAAAAGGGGAAAAAAATGCCGGCACCGTTATATAGGGATGCCAACTGCCTCGATTTTGATGCTGGACTGTGAACAAAAATTGCGCGAAATGAATGGAAACCCTATGATATTATGTAGTAGAAAAATATATCCTGAATATCTGTAAAGATTTTAGAAACAATCAGAAAGGGCTGCTGCGACAACGCGTAGAAAAAAATGTGTTTGCACTGTGTTCTTAATTGTCATTCTAGTTTTTTCTAGAAAAATATACATATATCCATTGATTTATAAATAATAACGAGGGGAAACTATCGCTGTTCGTAAAAGGGACGAATTGCTTTGTAAGATAATACAGAGAGGTGCGATTTCCCAGCAATCTCTCTAAATTTTGCTCGTACTTAACATGAGGAGGAATTTTTTAAATACACTTATAACAGTGTGATATTACAGGAGTTTGGATACAAAATTAAGTTGAACACTCTTTTGGGTGTTCCACACAACCAAATTCACCATAAATCAAGTACATCCCTACTCTCTTTGAGTACCGGGCATAGCTAAAAATTTACTAGCTAAAGCACGATTGTGCAGTGAATAGTGCAAATGCCAGATCACGAATTAGAAGCCACGCATAAACGTGGAAGCGATGACTGCAAGGAGAATTGCAAGACAAGGAATTCAAAAAACAAAGACAATTAAAAGAGAAAATTAAAAACTTTAATGAATTTGTTAGCAGCATGTTAAAGCCCCGCATTTCAAGGAACCGGAAAGATAAATCATATATGTATGTGTGCGTATTGTATGTGTAAAAGTAATTGAACAGTTAAATGTAAGATTATTCCTCCTCCAAGTGCCGACGATGCTGCATCTGTAGCTCAAAGCGACGATTTAAGCGCACTCCCCGTATGAAATCTCCGGTCTTCTCCTTTGGGGCACTGGAGCTCTTGTACATTTCCATGTGTCGTTGGCGTCTCTCTGCCACTTTATCCTTAAACGCGGTTGGCTTCTGCACTGTAGTCGGAGCAAATGTACTGGTTGCCGTAAATTTCTTGACCGCGGATGTTGATAAATTGAATGGTGGCTTCACCACTATGTTGCTGCCACTCTTCAAAGGCAACCGGCTTTGTGGCGGCTGCTTTACCTCAGCGGCTGGACGGAGCTCAGGTAACTGCATTTTGAATGTGCATTCAGGCTGCTTGGTTACTGTCGGGTTGATGGCCCAATCAATTTTCTTGAGAGCCCGTGGTCGGGAACGATCGCCAGACGCCAATTCACTGGAACTTGGCATCTTCTTCACGGATGATCCAGCTGCCTGTTTTGGCTTCAATCCTGAGCTAATCAACTCCTTGGCGCGCAATTCCTTGCGATTGAGGTGGTCCACCAAATTCTCCATCGTGGAAAATTGCTTCTGATGAATGGCTGCAAAGTTTGGAAGCTTTGTTCGCTTCGTCACCTTGCACGGTGTGAGCACTTTGTTATTCTTAAAGAATTCTGAAAAAGAGAGCATATATTGTTGTATTTATTGGATAGGCGAAAGGAAGTGATCGGTTGCCCTTACTTGGCGGGGGAATCCTGCTCCCCTTCGAGCGGCTCTCGTCCACAGACTTTGAGCGCTTGCGACGGCTTGTGACATCTGGAATTAGTTTTATAAGCATATGACATAAATGATTGCAAATATTCCAACTTACTGCTGGTGTTCAGACCCTCCCAGCGCTTATCAATGTCATGGACATGAGTGACTTCAATGGGACTACGGAACGAGACCGTTCTCGATTTGATATCTTCCCAAGTGGTGGCTGAATTTGAGCGTCGTTTCTTAATTTCTTTGCTTCCTAATTGGGTGCCATGATCCGATGCCGCCACCGTCTTGGCGGATTTACGCGTCTGGGACCTATAAGGTGTAGGGAATCGATACCCCTTGGAACTTTTGGGACCTGATGGTGTTGTGTTCGTCGCGAATTTAGTTAAATTCAAAAGTGTCTGGTCAAGATTGTCCTCCGTTGTTAAAACAACTTTAATCGAGGGCTTCACCGACGTACGGGATTGCTCCGATTTGGGTACTACTGCATCTGTGATAACATTTTGTTCGTCACTCTTTCTTTCATCAGCGTCGAAGGTCGTGTTGAGCACAGATTTATTTGGATCGGCAAGATCGTCATCGTCGAGCATAATCAGAGATGGCATTTCGCATTCAAAGTCATCTACCGCTGATTCATGTTCGAATTGGTCCATAGGCTCAAGTGGACACAATCCCAGGTCATCCAATGTTGCATTATGGACGCCCTGTGCAGGTTGTTCAGTTGACACCACCTTTATTTCCTCTTTTTCATCGTTATCGGTCAGTGGGATCAAGCCCAGGTCCTTCACGTCCATCAGAATTGGCTGTTTGGTTGATACCATGGCCTCCTCATCGGTTTCATCGGCTGTGATGTGTTCCACTCCGAATGAAACTAAGCATTGTTCATCGTCATCACCCAGGTCTGAATCTTTTTTCTCGGTGTTAGTATCCTCTTGTATGGTTTCAGTGGAGGTCTTATCACCATCTATATCTGAGGATGGCTCGACAACAACACCTAGTTTGACGACTTCGTCGTCTTTCTCTAACGCAGCGGTATTGACCTTACTAGAAGCGCGTTTGGACTTACGACTGCGCTTACAAGAATTGCGGCCCACTTCTGCGGCAGTCCACTTCTGAGTATGTTGCTCCTCAGCATTCTCGTCCAATTCGACTACTTTGCTTCTTATTTCCTTGCTGGCAGAACGTAGCATAATATCGTCATAGTCGATCGCCGGTCGCACACTCTTACGCGCACTGCGTCTCGGCGTTTCATTTGCCAGATGCTGTCTACTTGTTGGTGTTTTGGGAGGATCTCGACTGGTTGGCGACTCCAATTCAGCGATAGCTTTATTTTTCTTACGACCGTGGCGAGTTTTCATTGCCAATGGTGTATCTTGGTGTACAGCACTTTGTTTGGTATGTGGCGTCGGCGGCAGGACGCTCAAATCATCCTGATGCAGGTCTAGGAATTGTAAATGCACGATATACACTTCATGGAAAATACGTTTGTTCAACTTTCAGCTTACCAATGATCGATTCCATTCCGAATTTTGTATAATATTTATAATGAAACAGCACAATAACAAGAAAATGCCAAACAATCTTCCCGGGCTGTACGTTTATTTCAAAGCGTTAGAGATGTGTAACGAGTGTGACTTTTCGATAACATAGACGGTCCGACCCTCACAAAATATACCGTCTAATTTTAAAATTATACCGTAAATATACTGACGAATTGAAGTTATATTATATATATTCCTCAATTTTGATATTCCGCCGAATATTACTAGCTAGATAGATCTCTCAGCCCTGCCCACATAATTTTATCCAATTATTTTAAATAATTTTGACTTTTCCTGTTACGGCTATCGATACTACCGACTGGTGACGAGAGGTGCTCGAACTGAAAGGAGTTGGCATTTTATGACCGATACATAGCGAAAGCAACAATGGCAACGATTTCTCGATTGTTTCAGTTGAATTCAAATAAACTAAAATACATAAATGAAATAAACTTTGATAAATTTAACCACTGAACCCACTTGTATTGAAGAGTGTTTTTATTATTAATCAAAATGAAGAACAGGGATAATTTTATAATAAATTTATTTAAAAACATTAACCGAATACTTTAACATGTGAGCTGCCTCATGTGAAATAAAGCTAGCATCGAGATGGCATCAACGACTAGCAAATGAAATGCAATTCAATAAATATAATATGCTCCTATGATCCATTTGTGGCACTTTTGTAGATTAGCACTCTTCGATTATGGGAGTGGTCTGCCTGCTCAGGGCTAGCTGGTAGGCTACCTCAAAAGCTTGTCCCAAAGTCAAAATAATTTCCTTAGCCAGCTCCTGTAGGTTAAAATAAGTTAAGAAGCCGGAAATAGGGAATTGGTATTCTACGAACCAAATTATCGACCATAAAGACATGGCAATAATGCAGATCCTGCTCTTTGGTTATATATGCAAAGTACCGCAAATCTTCAGTGTCTTGGCAGACGCAATTGATATTCTCAATGTCATGGGAGCAGAGGGCAGTCTATCGAAGAATGGATAGTTGAATAATTTAGGGATAAGATATTCTGTTCTTACCTTTTTCTCATGATCCATAAATTTAACACCGATGCATGAAACTGCAATATCCACGTTGTGACGCGTCTGCAGATTGGCAGCCTTCAGATATTTTGTGGAAGTTGTGCAATTCTCGAGAAGACTAAAGTCACTGACGCTCGCGGCTGATTTCATGTTCTCATCGATCTTCAGCTTCTGAATGGACTTGCGCGTAGACAGTGTGCCCTGCAATTGCCTTATAACCGTCGATCCGAGATACTAGAAGCAAAATCTGATTTAAAAAAACTGCACCCAATAGATTTTCAGACAAACATACAAACAGGGAGTACCGTATTTCGCCGTAGATAAGGGTGTACGGCGAGTGACACCAGTGGGAGGCGGAACTCTGGCTCTTGCCCAGTAGGAGTTCTGCCGGATTGCGTATGTGTAGAGAGTATCGTGGGTCATCAGCGGGCAAGCTCTGGGGTTCGTCGACCTCCTCCTGCTCCTGCTCCTCGGTATCTTGATCGTATTCTGTAGATACTTCATTTCCGATGTTCTCAAAGATGGTATCAATCTCAGCCCAGACACGAGAGGCGCTGAAATCCTCCCCCAATGCAGAGTATCGCTGCTTGGACAGACTGCGGCGATGGTTCAGGGCATGTACAGACCTCACCATGCTAGGCGAACGTAGAAATTCGCGCTCCCGTGGCACTGAGCCTCGCCCATCAGTGGTGTCTGCAGCTAAATTCAACGTAGATCCCTTGAAAAGACCCGCGAACGGAATATCGCCTACAAATTCCTCCACATGATCCGAACTGAAGGAGTTCGTGGTGCGTGCCGATTCACTTGATTCCAAGGCGCTGTCCCTTCGCAGTGTCACGGGCATTATATAGTTCAATATCGTGTGCTCCGCCTCCGTAACCGTGGGCGGCGGATAATCTGGAGTGGGCGAATGACGAACCGTTCGCAATTTGCTGCCGCTGCTGTTGTTGTTGCTGTCCACAACTGCGGTTTTCGCCGGCGCTCCGTTGCTCCCTTCTTCTATCACCACGAGGTTCGCATAGTCATTGGATTTGCCATTTATGTGTGCACGTGGCATCGGAGTCGGGGGAGATGGTAGCGACATTTCCACATAAGAAGCCACAGCCTGTTGTCGTGCTCCAGCTGTAAAGGAAAAGTCATTAAAAATAGATCTTTGAACAACCAACTAGTCACTCTCCGAATCAATTGCTTTTCCTGCTGTTAATTGGTTTCTTTTGTACTTACAATTACTGCTTGTGCTGGCTGAGTTATTGTCATCACTGGCGGAACCATTTTTCAACAGATTGATGTACTCGTAGGATCGCGACGGCACAGAGGCACTGGAGATGTCGCCGAACGTCTGGAAGCTAGGCAGATGGGGCTGCTTGTAGACAGGCTTGTATGACTCCCAATGATTCCTGCTGTCGTCCTGGATTGTGTGGACATCGTTGAACGATTTCTGCAGTGTGATTGGCTTCATGGCCAGATAATTTTCCGGCAGCTTGGTATACACGTCCAGCGAGCTTAAAGAGTGCGAAAGTCCGTTGGCTTGATCTTGGTTTCTATAGGGGAGCGGTGGGGCGAATGGGGTTATGGAAGAAAGACCATTAAGACCAGACCGGTTAATTGAAGAGTGTGTGGAGCAATCGATTCTGACGATGATGGTAGTGGGCGTGGGCGTGAGTGTGTGGGTGCAAGAGTTGGGATGAGTGCAGTGCGTTTTCCGAATGACATGAGCTGCAGAGCAAGGGGTTAATTAAGGTCACGACATTAAAAGACACATTACGAGTGAGAACGACAAACAGCAGTGAGAATGTGTTGGTTGGTATGGGCGTGCGTGCCACAAGACATGGTTAGGGCACTGGTGCTGGGGCTTACTTCCTCTGCCTCGCCGAATCGCGCAGCTTGGACAGCTTCTGGCGCTGCGAGTTCTTTTCAAACAAGCGCTTCGGCAGCGACTGGGTGCTATTCTCCACGATCAAATCATCAGCAACCATCCGAGTCTGCTGTGCCATCGCCTGGTTGGTGAAATCTGAAAGAAATGGTATCCGTTAGAAGCTTTGAAATGTCCAAGGCGTGGCCTCCTCCCACCATTGATGACACCCACAATGTCGTATGTGACGTGAGGGGGATAGTCCGAGAGTATATCCAGGGCAGTGCGCCCGTTGCCATCTGTGGCGTATACAAAAATGCCGGCCTTTAGCAGGGTGACCACCACAGACTTTTTGCCGCACAGCGCCGCCTCGTGAAGGGCGCTGCCCGCATGCGTGAGTATGTTGACATCAACGCCCGCCGCCAGCAGCGTCTCCACCACCTTTTTGTGTCCATTCCGACTGGCCAGATGCAGACATGTGTGCGTAAAAATATGCTTCGTGGGCGACGTTGCATACGGACTGGAGTCGGAGTATCCCATCAGCTCAGACAGATCCCTCTCATCCTCTCTCTTATATGGCAGTATAAGATCTGGATAGACCCGCAATAGCGTTTGTACCACCTGCAATCGTCCAAATTGGGCGGCCAGATCCAGAGCCGTCTGGAAGCTATTGTTGCGTATTGCCGGATCAGCACCGTAGGAGAGTAGGATGGCCACGACGGCGTTGTGACCATGCTGGGCCCCCGAATGCAGTGGGGTCTCGTTCTCGATCGTTTGGGCATTGGGATTGGCACCATTGGGGCTGTGCATTAGCAGCATTTTCACGATTTCCTGGTGGCCAGCCCAAGCGGCAAGAAATAGCGGTGTGGAGCCACGAATATCTGGCACATCCAGCTTGGCATTGTGGGACAGAAGCAGGCGGACAATAGTCCCATGCCCGTTGAGGCAGGCATGGTGCAGTGATGTGTATCCATTCACATCTTGGCAATTGATGCTGGGACTGCGGCGAAAGCTGAAATATGAGATCCACTCCACACTACATTTAGTACATAAACTCAATTGAAAATACTTTGTTTGGCTGACTCACCTCGACAAAGGCCCGTGACGTTTGGATGAAAGATCCAGCAACTTGTCGACTGTTCGGATGTCGCCACTTCTTGCTGCCGTCAGCAAATGCTCATCCTTGCCCATGGGAGCTGCGCTGTGTTTAGATTACTAGAGAAAAATAAAAGAGCGAAGAGCGCACATGTTAGTGTCTTGTTCTACATTGAAAGGAATGAGATCATCGCAAGAAAAATATTGAGCAGCCCAGCCCCAAATTAGGTGGCAGGCAGAATCAGCTGTTTGTTCGCCCTTACTGTAAACAGAGAACCTGTCGATTACTTGGCATACATATACACACATACATATACCCATGGTTTGGAATGTGTGTATGTGTGTTTGTTGATTTTAGGGTCTGCGCTCCACTCCGCCTCTTCCAAGGTCATCAAACGGCATTGGGACAATCAATTAGAGTGCGTTTCCACTAAATATAGATTTTCTCAATTATTATTTACCGACTGACTATGTCCGAGTCCAGTTTTAATGTGCGCTGCCATCAACGACTCACTTATTGTCCCCAACGATAATAAATCATTCGCGGATTGGGGATCAATTGTATTTACGTGGAACCGATCTACCCTAAACCCCAGTGTTGTATAACTTTTAAATGGAGCAGTGCTGTCATTTCAGCTTATTTTAAGCTAGATAGCTTAAGCTAGACGCTTTAAGCTTATTTTATATATTATATTGCACATGGTGTGCAGTGGCTACGCAATGTGCCATTTGACCCCACAAAATCGTACTGCTGCTTTTCACTAAAAACCTATTGTGTCCAATGCAAGCATGGCACAAACTAACAAAATGCTTTTTGTTAGAAAGTCCTCAAAAACAGAGGGGCAGAAGACAGAACTTGGCCCGTACATTACTGATCAGTCGGCCATAACATAATGAAGTGGAAAAAATCAATGACGTGGTTTAATTACAAACTAAAAACAAAATATCAATATAATTCAATTATTAATTATTTTGATGTGTTTTTATGATTAGCTTATTTTTAAGTTTTTTTTTAATTTTTAGCTTATTCTAGCTTATTTATTCTTCAATCTAGCTAATGGCGACTCCCGAAATCTGGCAACACTGGACCTACATATGTGTTATTAAATTCGAGGACCTAATCAGATTATTTTGGTAAAAAACCCCTCTTATTGGACGTTCGTATGTGTTGGAGGCGTTGATATGGCAACAAGAAGGGCGTGCGTATTCATTTAGTGCCAGCTCCAGCAACAAGCGATGACCGTGCGCGGCATAGAAGCAATCAAATTGAACATACCGAAGGCAAAGGGCGACGCAGCAGCCATCAAAACAAACATTCGCGAGGAGAGAGGTCAAGCCATTGAACCTGGACCCGACGAAGCCAGCGGCAGCACAATGACCTCTGTGGAACGGTATAGACTGGAGTGGACGCAGCTGCTGGAGAATCTTGATGAGAACCCGGAGACCCTGCGACTGGCCGCATTTAATGGCGACCTGAAGATGTCCAAGTTTCGCAGCGTCTACTGGGCGCTGCTCCTGCGCGTCCTCAATGCGGAGCATAGGAGCTGGCACACCCAGCGCCTACAGCAGCGCAGTAGATACGAGAAGTTCCGGGTGGACTATGTGCGCAATCCCCACGAGCTGGCAGTGTCCGACGACGACCCCTTGTCGCAGTCAACGAAAAGCGTTTGGAACCAGTACTTCAGCGACCAAGAGCTGTTCGCGGTGATACGGCAGGACGTAGTGCGCACCTTCCCCGGCGTTGACTTCTTCCGCAAAGCGCTCGTCCAGAACGCCATGGTCAATATCCTGTTCTACTACGCCCGCGAGCATCCCTACATGTGCTACCGCCAGGGCATGCATGAGATACTGGCCCCCATTATCTTTGTGATCTACAGCGATCACCAGTCGCTGCTGCACTTCAGCGAGATCGCCAAGACTGACATAAACGAGACCTTGTTGAACGTCCTCGATCCTGGCTACCTGGAGGCGGACACATAGTACGTCGTCTGCCATTGCCCACCCGCCATTAGTTTAATCTGTTCCCATGTGTTGCAGCTCCATTTTCTCGCGTCTCATGGCCTCCGTGGAGTCGTACTATCGAGTATCGAATCTCGTTTCCACTCCTGACGGCCACATTGAGCAGCTAAACGAGGTGCGTCGTAGCTGCAGGCTGCAGATGCAAGACAAAAGAATCTTATCGCTCTCTTTCAGGCCTCCAGCGATAAGGAGCAGCAAACCGAGGTGGAGGTTATCAGCCAGCTCAACCGTATACGGGACAAAATACTGGCCAAGCAGGACCAGCACTTGCACCATTATCTGCTGAAAATGGAAATACCGCTGCACATATTTGGAATGTAAGCTTAAATTCGAGACATCCCATCGTCATATATAATAATATATACCCGTTCGTACATTAATGATCTCTACAGTCGCTGGCTACGCCTTCTATTCGGACGGGAGTTCATGTTGTTGGACCTGCTGCTGCTGTGGGATGCCATTTTCGCGGATAGCGACCGCTTCGACTTGCCCAACTACATTCTGGTGGCCATGCTGGTGCACATACGAGATAAGCGTGGGTATTTCCCGGCGTCTGGGTGCTCTTGTAATTACCCGTTTGATTGCAGTGCTGCTCAGTGACTACACTACGTCGCTGACTTATCTCATGCGATACCCGGGCAACGTTGACGTCAACTTAGTGCTGCGCCATGCTCTCTTCATGCTCAATCCCAAGCAGTTCGACTACCCAGCGAACGCCTTCACCTGTGTGTCCTTTGCCAACAATCTTCCAGCCCCGCCAGCTGGCGGGCCATCCGCACGCCAGCAACGCCTGCGTACAATCTCGGAAACATCATCCAGTGGCAGTCAAGTCGATCGCCAGATCACCTACATGCAGGAGCGCAATGCTGCCGATTCCTCTGCTCTGGCCAAGCTGCAAGATGCCCACCGCGTTGCCATGGATGGATACCTGGAAAATGTAAGTGACTGCCCTCGTATCCACCTTACGATCTCGACATTATCCCCGATCCTATGACGTTTTCCCAGAGCCCAGAGCTGCTGCGTCTGGAGTTGAAGAATGCCCAGACTGTAATCAAAATCGCTAGAAGCAAACTGCAAAATTACCTGCGAACTGTGCGCCAGCATGTAGCGCCCAGGCAGGGCAATGAAGAGCTGAGCCGCACGCTCGACGGAATCGAGGAGCTTTGTAGTTTTCTCGACGTGAAATTCATGTTTCCACTGCACACGCGCTCGGCGCCAATCGACCAGGCACTGGAGGCTAACGAACAAAAGCAGCTGAACAAGACCAGTGCCAAGACAAAACAGGAAGTAGCCAGAGCCTCGCCGTCCCCCTCACCCACTCCCACGCCTGCGGCCGTCTCCAGTAGTTACGAAATGCCGGAAAATGCATTCATGCACAGCTCGATGCGTCGTCTGTTGGGCGAAATGCGGGAAATTGAGTTGTCGACGATAACAAGCGACGAGAAGCCAGGAACAGTTGTCCAGAATGGTCTTCCGGCGGCGGAACCCCAGCAGCGGCACCTCCCAATCACCGATCTGCGGTGATCTGATCATATTGACTGAACAAAATATTATATTAGGTGCAGCAGCCACCTAGTGGCTGCCAAGTGAACGAACAGGTACTATACTTTTGGAGTCTGCTAATGAAATAAAACGATACAATTTTGAAGTTTTTAATCTAAGATGAAAAGCTCTCGTGTAACGGTGTTTGTGTTTGAAGTCCTCCCAAACGCCTCGACTGATCGGGATTTTTGTATTTTTGTATGAACAACATCCACTTATCTCCCATACAACGTTTTAATACGTCTCTAATACAACGTATTTGTGTGACTGGAGCAGTACTAGGCACTAGTTCGGAGGTGGTGATATCACCACTCCCTTACAGACCAGGAGTACATTCATTACTGACCCTTAACAATGGTTTTCATCATTCCATTTTTACCCGCAATGTCCTACGATATGGGGACCAGCGACACCACATCGTTTACCCCCGATACCCATACAATGGGTAGTGAAATGGGCACCCAGCTTGTAGCTAGTGAAATCGGTACGCAACGGTAAGCTTTGAAATGTTACAGTAGTTTACTAATTTTTTCATTTCATGTTATTTATTTCATTCTGTATCAGTAATAATTTGGTTATTTTTGTTAGAAGTTACATTAATTTTAGTTATTGTAGTGTAGTGATCAATTTCTGTGTGTGTTACAATAAGAGGCAGCAAGGCGATTCATTTTCATCGTCGAACGAGTAAAGCAACCAAATGCGAAATTGTACAGCAGAAAGAACAGCCGCACGAAACCAACATGATAACGAAAATGTGCGTGTGGGCGTGTCGCAATCGCGGGACTCTCAATCAGAAGAGGCGCGAGAAGAAACAAATCAAAAGAGACAATTTTAACGGACACATGCGTGCCGACTCTATGCAAATGAGGTGGCCGATAACGACAAGTATATAAAGCATTTACAGCAGCTTAGTTGCTCCGTCTCGCAGTCGAGCGCGAGCCAGGTACTAAATGTTTCGCTCATCCGAAAGTGCTTATTGGACATGGCTATGGATAAAGAATGTGGTGTGGATTCAGATTCAAACTCTGTCCCTGCCATCGGTTGGAGCAACAGGAATTCTTCAAAATAATGCGGTAAGCCTTTAAAAATTCATTTTAAAATAGAAGTACAAGTGTACCAACGAGAATTCTTCAAAATTGCTGCCAAACAAAGCTGGGCGGTGATGACATCAAACGTGTAGACCACGAAAGGCTACAAAAACCTCAATTCACCAAAGGGCAGTCGACCGCACAGTCGTCGAGCTGGACGACCCGACACCTATTGAATGAACAGTATGAATTTTTAAAACTCTTCGAATCGGACATGCACATTCTATCCGATATTACGCGTACCAAAACGACAAAACGAGTGGGATTGAAGAATTATTAAATTCGTGCTTTGCCGACAAAAGTTATTCTGCAAAAAAAAAGTACACTCGATTGCTTTTCGAAATTAATATTAATAATTTTAATTTGCCGGGTCAGCTTACAATGTATTAATTAAAGAGGTACGCTTAAGTGGAAGTGTCTCCGCAACATTTCCCAATAATTGCCGTTTCAGTTGCATTGAAAATAACTCAAATTTTTTGGTGGCAAACAAACAAAATCACGTACATTCACTTATTTTGTACGGCTATATAACGATCAGAATATCGGGGATACACTGGTATTTGGAATCAGGCTGGGAGCGATCATAGAGTCCAAGGTACTCTCCCGTGCATTCATCTTTAACATACATATGTTCTTTAAACAGAAATCAGCTCTAAAAGCTAAATGGGGTGGAAAAAAAAAATATGAAATGGGGACTGGAAAGGACATCTAGTGGGGGGAGGACACAAGAAACTAAGGGCATGGATGGGGGAGTACATTCTGGTAATGTATGGTCTGCGGGTGCTGCCAATAACTTATGGCTGCGATGGCCTACTGATTGTCAGCTGCTGATTCTTCCCGGCCCAGGTCGGTTGAATTTTTGGCCCTCCATTAATGTTGGTTGGGGGAAGTCGCAAGTGTTGGGCAGGGGGCGGCCTATTCACAGTCTGTGTCTTTGAAATGGTTATCATCTTCGACTGGTTGCCATTGTTTAGACGGATCTGACGCATCATTGCCGATGGATTGTCATTGGGCCTATCCGTCTTGACGGGGGAGGCGGAATTCACGGTCGTGTACGTGCATGTGGTTTCCGTGGAGGTGTTGACGCTGTGGCGCCCATTCAAGCTATTTGGTGTGGTCAGCTTGTTCAGGGGGACGCAGCGTACAGCATCGGAGTCTTGCCGGCATGACGCTTGCATGGAGGCGGGCCACATGTGGCGTACGTTGCTCAACAGTTCCTTGGCACCATGGCAACCATTGATAGTCACCTGACCCTTCTTCTGTGGCATCGGGCTGGATTTTGCCGGGCTGGCGCCAGAGCTGGCATTCTCAATTTCGTTGTGGTTCTGCTGGCCACTGTTCTCATCGGCTAGGTCGTTTATGGAAATGGTTGTCGTGTTAGAAAGCGCTGGCGACGAAGAGTCGGCTCCATTGTTAGGGGAAGTATCAGAACCAAGTGTCTCCGAGCTCTGGGTGACTACGCTGGTTGCCGTTGCGGCAGCAGGGCCAGGGGCCACGATGCGCTGCATGGCTCGCACTTCCAAGCCACAGACGAGCTGCATGATCTTTGCCTTGCCTTCGGCGGCAAGATCTGCCGGCAGGGCTTTCATAGTCGGCGAAATACTGTCAAAGAACAGATCCACTACGTGCCGGGGCCCTGATGGCAGAGACGTTATCGAAACATTGGGCGAACCCGGCGCCAGCGCCGTGGAATCCATCTGTGGTGCCACCTCTCGCTCCAGGTTGCGAAGGCGCGTTACAATGTCGAAGGAGGAGCAGATCATGTCCTTCGCCATGTCCAATTGGCTGCGGTCGTCCGATCGCTTGCCCACAGAGTCGCGCAGGTAGCGCATGATGCGCCGTACCTCCATCGAGCGGCGTGAACGCTTAGACGGCGGCTCTTCCGTCGTGCTGCCTTCAGATCTAGAAGCAAGTGAGCAAAGATAAGTGATGTCTTCCTTTCATTCGATGCCAATGCACTTACTTGACGCTCAACGCCCCATCGCTGTCCTGATCCACTTCCATGGCCGAGTCCTCCACCGCGGCCGCAGCAGGGTTGGCCGAGGTGTGTTTTGCAGCCGCGACCTGAATCTTGTATTTCTCGAGATTTTCAGCATGTTTTCGCGAGGCGTCGTGCTGGCGCAGGAAGAACACCTTGATGGGGAGACGGGAGTCGCAGATGCGACATTGACAGTGGTTCTCATCGGTGGCATCGGGATCCAGCCAATCGTACTTGGCCTGCAGCTCTGCCATCGCCGCCTTCTGCTTGCTCTCGGCACTAGTAAGCGCTGCCGCCGTGGCGACCGCGGCGGATATGACCTCTTTGCTCGCTGCCTCTGCTGGTTTGCCACCCGTGCGTTTCCTCTCCATGCGCAGCCGCACGTGGCGGGACGAGCGCTGATGCTTAGACGCGTACTTAGAGGTGGGCAAGAAGACGGAGACCTCGCACAGCTTGCACCAGCCGTAGTTACTTCGCTGCTCGCTGCGCTTGTAGGAGAGCCAGGGGAAGCGCTCCTTCCACACCATCACCTTACCCTTAATTGTGGCCGGAATGGGATGGCTGGTCTTGCTGAATGGGGCGGCTGACTTTTCGTGCACGGTCCCAGAGTCCGTGTTGCTCTGCTCCTCGTCCCCTTCGGCCTCCGGCAACCGGTTGCGCTGTTTTTTTTCCTGTCGAAGCAGCTCCTGGCGCAGTTTGTGCTGCTTAACCAGGTTATTGTGCCGCACACTGAGATCGTGTCGCGCCTTGCCCGACTCGTTGTAGAAGCGCACGCGACAGAACCGGCACAGCTGTGTTTTGCGATCCTTGGAGTAGCGCAGCCAAGAATAGAATCGAGCCCCAGGCCTGACCCTGCGCTTCCTCGGGCCCCTTTGCTCCGCAGAATATCTAAGGGTAGACCTAATTGTAAGTTCTGTGTCCGAGATTGTTATTTATAGAGCTCACATACCCCTTTGGCGATTCAGACCAATCATCGTCATCTTCATCCACTTGGTATTCGGCATCACTAGGCTCGCTTTCGCTGCGGCGCACTGATGGGGCTGGTTCGCTACGCTGCTCCTCCCCATCCTCCTCCTCCGCATCGGTAGTTCCGGTATGTTCAGACCTGAAGGCTGCCACGGCCGCCAGATGCTTCTCAGAATTCTCGTGGTTCTTGCGCTTGATCTCGGAGTGCCCGTACACGAATCGCTTACAGCAGATGCTGCAATACGCCTGACTGGGGTCCTCAGGATCGGCTACCATCCAGGGATGTAGCTCGGAGTAATGCTCCCAAATTCCGCGATTTATCGTAGAGCTGAAGAACAGTAACGATAAGGGTAACAGATGGCTGGGGACTCAGTTCAAGGAATGCCTCACCTGTCCGGGTTTTTATTAAGCAATACGTTCTGGCAGTGAGCGTTGGTTTTGCAGTGACGCAGGAAGCTAGTTATCGCCATCTGGCAGTTGCAGAGCGTGCAGCGGCATTGCTGGGGACTCGTGTCATCCACGAGCTCGCACCAGCGACTGGGATCGCTGCTGGCATCGACATCCCCGCCAACGACTGTGACAACGGTGCTGTCCCGCCGAGGCACTGGCTCTTCCTCCTCCTCCTCCCGAGCGGGGGGGTGGTAGATACTGGCACTGCGCTTGCGCTTGAGCGACTGTTTGCCCGAGACTTTTAGCTGTCGCGCGGCCTCCGCATGTCCTTTGGTGGCCTCGTGCCGCTTGCGTAGGTACAAAAACTCCACATTCATCTTCACGTTGCACCATTTACACAGGCCAATTGTACCCTGGAGCTGGTCGCGTTCCAGCCAGGAATGACACTCAAGCCAGCGCGTCCAGTTGAAGTCGTTGAACAAATCTGTCTCCTTGGCGCGCTTCTCTTTCATGGCCGCCACATAGCTGTTAGTGCCGAATTCGTGCTTGATCTCGGCATCGGCTTGATCGCTAGTGCTGCGAAAAAACCCAGGACGAAAGTCAAGAATCAAAAATGTTGGCGGTAAACATATGGTGGAAATACTCACGCGGCTTGGATTTGCTTCTGGCTCTCCTTGAAGGCCAGGTAGTTTGTCTCGCGCTCCTGATGGTACAGCGACATATTGTGCTGCTGGATGTACTTGGACTTGTTGTTCACGTTGAGTTTCATTTTGCAATACAGGCAGAAGGCATAGTTGCCATCGCTGTCCTCGTGCAGCACCCAGGGCCAGCGTTTCATCCAGATTAGCCAGCGATTCCCTTTCACTCGACTGTGTGATGTGCCAGCAGGAACGCCATCATCCAGGCTGAAATCATCTTCATCGTCCTGACTGTCCGCGTCGTGATTCTCCAGGCGCTCGAGGAGCCCCATTGGGTCAACGTACGAGTTGTTGCTCTCCACGTCGCTGCTCACCTCGGTTTTGGTGGACACATTTTCTTTGTCCTCAGACAGAGGGTCAATTAGAGACCCAATCGGCAGTTCTTCAACCGCGGGCACATTGTCTTCCAATTCATCAATATCTGAGTCTTCTACTAAAATAACGAGGGGGACCTCCGTGTCCATAGCTCCTTCCACATCCATGATTTTCAGCTCGTGTTGCGTCGTTTTCAAGCCCGCATCTGCCGACGCCATTTTGTTGCCGGTGTCGGGTACCTGGTCGAATTTTTCATCCAGTGCATTGTGCTCATCCATTACGATCACGAGAAGCCTGCAGGCACTCGCAGTTGTCTAATCCACACAATTATAAAATCACAGCACGCCGTCTTAAAGTTTAACAAAAAAATTCACCAAATTTGCACAGATGCGTCTGGAGAGGGAAACAATAACAATCGATATTGATACTCCACCAAGCTGAATTCCATCGATATGCATCGATATTTCACTTCTCTTATTCGCGCCTTTTTACTGCACTCAAATGTAGTTATTTAATGTGACAAACTAGGTTGCAGGCACAATATTTTATTATAATGAGCACATTTTAACTGAACATCTGATGTTAGTGGAGTTCTGTTTGACAGCCGGTCGCTTTCTTTCGAAGATATCGATAGATAAAACATTATAGTAGAATCGACAGGGGCAGAATCCTGTAGTGCTGCCATTTTAGCCTGTTTAAGGCTAGATCTAGCTTATTTGAGCGTATTTCACTTTGCTTATTTTTCCTTCTTATATCCTGAATATATTTTTAGGTATATTTTACGGCCAATCGAACAAAAAGTATACTTGAACGCATTTTGGTGTGTCATGGTATTTTAGAATTAATTGACGACCAACTTGGATGAATTTAAAGAGTAGCTGCGCAAGGTACCTGCGGATCAGTCAAAATCTTATTGCTGTTTTTGCAAATATGCTGCCAATAATACGTTCCAGCGATAAATATACCGATTCGAGGAATAGCAAAATTGTGGAAATAATAACCCTATTAGAAATTTATATTGCCTGTTTTTAGCCTGTTTTTTTTTTTACAATTTGTAGCTTGCTCTAGCTTATATTATTGTGATATCTAGCAAATTTGGCAGCACTGGAGTCCTGGTCCCGCGCCACGTTAGGGAGCGGATCCTATAATATCGGACCCATATAGCCTCTAAATAAAATGAAAATAGAGTAAAATAGGGTATACAAATGCTCATAATTCTGTTAATAATGTTAATGTTAATGTTTTCTTGTTAACATTTTTCTTTAAACCATGTTTTAGTCAAAATGCAATAAATAAGAGTTCTAAAAAGTGGTTAGTCTTGTAGAAAATGTATTCTTCAATGGGATAAAATTATGTGGGCTGGGCTGAGGGTTTTATCTAGCTAGTAATATTCGTCGGAATATCAAAAGCGAGGAATATGTAAAATATATCTAGAATTCGTCAGTATATTTACGGTATATTTTTAAAATGATACGGTATATTTTGTGAGGATCGGACCGTATATCTTATCGAAAAGTCCGCGGTCACACTGTACTGCACTCAAATTTGTTTATATTTTGCAAAAAGTGCATTAAATTAATGGCAAACTTACAGTTAACTCAGGAAAAACTGTAAGTATTCTTAACTAGCAGCCACTCAACTGTTGATGATCCGTGCCCATATTTCTCGACAGCGATGCCCTGCGCTCAGAGTACAGACCACGCAGGCCGTGCGCCCAGCTGAAGTACCCGAGGCCGAAAACAAAACCGGAATACCAAGCGATATACCCATGGCTCCTGCCGGACGAGACGGATCCACATTTTGTCTTCTGCGCGGTCTGCGAGTGTCGATTGAGCTGCAAGCGCTCCGACCTGGGCAAGCACGAGGGCAGCATCAAGCACTCGGAAAATGCACAGCGAAAGTCCTTGGTTCCAAAGATCGAGGAAGATGCAGTGGCGGCGTCCGGAATTATGAAGTGGGAGTACACAGACGAGCAAGATGGAGGCCTGATGCTGTATAGAGCAGCCCATGAAAAAAAAGAGCACGATGATGAAGACGGCGACGATGAGGCTGATGGGGATGGGGATGCCGATGCGGAAGTCGACGATGACGACACTGACCCAAATGGAGAGGGCGAGGCAGATGCAGATGCGGATGTGGATGCCCAGAACGATAACGATAATGAGACCGAACCAGCTTCCAAACAACAGCGCCGCATATCCGAAAGCGATTCGCAACATTCCGGCATGCTGGACTATTTACCTCTGCACGTGACCATCAACGAGCTGCCCAGTCAGTTGCTGCCCGGCACTCCATTCCCTTCAGCAGCCACGGTGCCGCAGCCATGCCGCATCACCATCAAGAAGGTGTCGGCGCCCGTGGCTCAGATGGCCGCACCCAGTACGCCACCAAACGTTGCGCAGTCTAATGAAATTACGTCCAAGGCTACCATCACGCCCTTAGCAGCCTCCGGCAGCTGCTATACGCCTTCCACGCGTCTGCCGCAATCATACGCCTCCCGGCAGCTCCAGTCATACCAGCTGCAGCACCTCTCCCCCATCGCCCCGCCACGCGACTCCCTGGAGCTGTTCTTTGACAGCATTTGCTCCACCGTCAAGTCGCTACCGCCAAAGCTAGCTACCGAGGGCAAGATCCGTGTCATGCAGCTTATCGGAGAGCTGGAGCTACGCGCCCTCAGCGACCAGGACTGCCCGCTGGCCACTCAACCTAGTCTCGATCTCGCCACTTGCGCACCGCCTACCCCAGATACGCCTGGCAGCAGCCAGCAGAATGCAACGGTGGCATCCACGACAAAGTAGCTCGCAGCATGCGGCCCACTCAACCCATGGAATCAGTTCAAAGCAGGCTCAAGTTGCTCTCGTTAGTACAGTAGACTTTGATAAAGTAGAGTTTCTGGTGCTTGCATCAGTTTTTATAAGTTTGTTAATCGATTTTCATTAATAAATTTACTTATTAATTGTTATAGTAATCTTCCTATCATCTGTAGAATCTCATCATGGAGAGTCGGTCGGTTTTATAAAAAGTAATTAATTACATTTAATTGTAAAGATTTTCCAAAGCAAGTGTTATAAATTATTCACTTAGTTGTAAGCATATACGTAAGTAAGACTGGATCTAAAAGGCCGGCTTTCCCTCCAACATGGCCTTGCCGCAGAAGAACGGAAACTGCACGCCCTGGAGCAGCATGTCCGCGATGCCCTGCGAAGAGTAAAAAACAGAAAGAGTTTCTTGTTTAGCAAGTGGTGGATTGGAGCGTATCTAACCGAACGTTATCGCGTTTGTCCACATTTTCCGTAAAGCCCCTCCCAGTCTCCCCGATAAAGTATGGCACATGAGTAATTGTGAAGAAATGTACTTTTCTGTGATAAGCAAAAGCCGCATGCAGCACCTGTTTCGTAGCGATGACCTCACCCGTGACGACCCCACCCCACACCATGCTGGTATTTCCCGGACTCACCGACAGGGCGGGTATGCAGGAGGCAAATGCATATACCCAGATGTAGAAGAAGGCGCAGAAGAAGGCCACGAAGAAGGAGACGAACCAGAAGACCAGCAGCCAGAAAACAAACCACAGTGGATTGGCCATCTTGATGTGTAGAGTTTCTTGTTCGACGTAATTCGAGCTGCAAGATAAGATAAATGAAAGAGATGTCTTTTAGAGGGTCTGAACAAATTGCGAATCTTATCAGATCGCCCCAACCCATTAAAATTAAAACTCTTGACTTCTGATTGCATCTTAGTTAATTTCATGAAGTAATACTATTGTTTTACTTGTATTATTGTAGTATTACTAGTCTGGTATGCATTTCGTAAGGCTTTTCCCCGAAACTGCATTTGCATAGCTGCTTTCTTTCAGCTAGATTTCACTTTTGTATACTTGAAAGCCCCAAGTTCGTGACAAGCACTCTAGCTACCAATTTGGTATGGCTTTCGAGCGTCAGAGCCGATTCTGGATATCGCCGCGCCTGCCCAAAGAAGGCAGCTTGAAAGTAGAAGGCCTCCCGGGAGGGAGCTCTGAGGTCAGGGAAACATTTCAGTTTTATTTCGAGACAGCGATTAGAGAATCATGCTGATTACAGGCCTCCAGCTAGATGTCGTCATTATGCAAATATCGTTGCTAGTACTCATATTTTATGTAGTTGGGGTGTGTCTTCGACTTAAGTCATCAGTGAAACAATTGTGGAACAACAACAAACCGGTTGGCACAATTAACACTAGGAATGAATACAATATTTTAATTAGCCAGGCACCCGCCAGTGCGTATCCCACATTTGCAGTTATTCAGGCAATTAATCGCTGTACACTCAACAATGCGTGAAATTTATAAATACTTTTTTTTTATAGCGAACACCCACGTAAGGCAATCAAAAACAATGCAAACAACGAAAGACCACGGAAAATCAAAACAACCAACCAACCAAAAGATTCAAAAGCTACTGAGAGATCGGCGTCCGGGAGGCACGAGAGACTCTGAGAGAATGTGTGATGGAAAAGTCAACACAAAACACAAACCGGTGCAACAAGTAGTTTAACCTTACATATGTAGAAGTGCATACATATATAGCTATGAATATGTTCGCATGGTATAAGTATTTTAGGTGATCAAGCTATACGTTAGTATTTCTTTTTTTCAACTTCAAGTTTTTTTTTTTTTTTGACTTAAGCTAGCATATATTGTGACATCTTCAGTGTCTTACAACTAGTTGTAATGAAACTTAACAATTCTGAAAAGTGAATGAAGGCAGCTTTAAATCGATAATGGAAACTTTGCAGATAAAGCATACAGTTTGGGTAATATTTATTTTTCGATAGCGAAATTTTACGATTTGTAGCCATTTTGCTCGAAATGATGACTTCAAAAACTTGGGAATAGTCGAAGAATATAATTTTCCGTTTGTTTGTTTTCATAAAAATACATAGGCACAAAAGAAGACATTGTTTAAGATATATTTTATTAATATCTTAGTATGAACGCTCAAGAGAGTATAATCGTTTTAGCAATCATCTTCGGTATATTTAAAAAAATAATTTTCAATAAAATCAAAGCATAAGCAGTAGAACTTTATCATTTGATATTACAGTTACGCATTTTCTGCAAAATACGAATTGCCAGATCTGCCATTAAACCATAACTAGATCAGATCACTTGATAGTAGGAATAGTAGCTGCAGGTGCTGGCAGTGAGGCAGCCATCAAGCAATATATGTATAATATAATATAATAAAGCGAGGCGCTAAAACAGGTATTATTAAAGGTAAAACTAAAAAAGAAGTTATCGTATTTCATAATATATGTATGTTTTTACCCGGATAAGGGGCCATAGCCATGATGCCGCTGTTGTGTCGCTGAGTCGACAATGTGGCGTCCCGTGGCAGCAGGGACCAGAGATCAACGGCGGAATTGTTGGTTCACGCCCACGGGAAATAATGTCAGCAACCTCCCATCAACTGCTGGGCTTCAGCCTCGAGACGTGGGTTGTCGATATATTTTAAACTATATCTTTCTTCACAGAGTACACTAGACTTTGCCACAAACCGAGTCGTATTCGATTTCACCCCGCCCAAAAGGTACTTTTTGGGGAATGTGCTCGTAACTTTGCCCTTTTAAGTAAGTTTTTCTCCATCTTTTCAAAAACAGGAAAATAGTCCAAATATACTAAACTTTTTTTTAAATTAAAAAATTGTTGTTTCGGTTACCTTGATTAATTCCACTGTAGGTCATCACACATTTATATGAAATGTTTGTGCTGCGTTCCACAGCTCGATATTATCCTAAATCTATATACATAGCATAGCCAGTGGTGCGTCAGTAGAGTAAAATCCTATCATTGTTTGTTACTTGCAGTGCCCACTGTACCAGGCTGTAACCTATATATGTACGTGCAGCCGCTCTCTCGCGTCTTTCTTTCGCCTTCTCTATCGCTCTCTGTCGATCTGTGGCCCTCCCGCTAGCATTGGACATGGGCAATTCGGCACGCCTGCCCTTGAGTTTAGTCTTGATCTTGCGCTCACTTCTTGCACGTCCATTGGGAAAAGTTCTTCAATCCGGCTACGTCTTGAACCGACCGCCCGCGTCTTTAATCGGACCCTATCTTTGTTGTGAACATTTCTAGAACCTCTCGCATTCCCTTCGACTCTGTATTACAGTATATACCATCCCCCTCAATAAATCGTATTAAGTGTATTAAAGCCTACCAAAAAACAGGAAAGGTTTTTATAGTTAATAACTTGGAATGCACTTTATATACATTTATGTATAAAATCCTCAAAAAACCTGTGCATGTGAAATTCTTGAGTTTGGTAACTTTTTTAATTCAACATGAGGCGCTCGCTAAGATATACATATGTACCTACCTCTAAGTTTGTCATACCATGCATGCGAGAATGTTTACCGATGCAGGGCTTTCAGCTAAAGCTAACGCTGATGCTTTTACTCAAAAAGATACCGAGAGTTGATCAACATGTTTAAAGATTGAAAGTTAATAAGTCTTTCAAATATCGGTATACAGTATATTCTGCGGAAATGAATACTATAATAATGATATTGTTGACTACCTAATCATCATACAAAATATAATATAGTAGAAATCCAAACTGCACCTCTGGTCAGTACATTATAATGCCTTTTCTGAACTTTCTAGAGACTTCTACAGACTACTTAAAGAGCTATGGAATTACGTTTCTAAATCGAATCTAAAAAAAACAAAATTTAGTTGGACCTCAGTCGTAAGCTTTCGAATGCTGCATATAACAGAATTTCAGCGGCAGAGGGAGAGAGACTGAGAGAGCGTTTTGTTACTGACAACAACTTTTTCACACAGCTGAAGGCTGAAAGCTCTCTGCGGCGCTTGTCAATGTTTTCATATCAAATTTCCTCCATGTACAAGAAAAGTTTCATCCCGGACGCCGACGCTTACTTTCTCCGCATTTCGTCGTCGCACCGCATAGAGAACGGTAATTCCGATTGGGGCTCTGATTCCTAGCTGGCGGTCTGTACGGTCCTCTCCGAAAAGTGCAGAGTAGAGCCGTTGTAGAGAAAGGAGGTGATTGCCAGTGACATTTTCAGTGACGGTTTCCTTCGATCAGATCAGTGGCAAATGCTTGCAAAATAAATACGGTAAATACTTGTACATGTTGTGGGTATAGCATACTTTGCGGCTCAAAACAGCTGCAGCAGAGGTGTGTGTACGTGTGTTTGTGTGTGTGCTGCTTGTTTACTTGTGTGGGAGAGAGCTGGTACATGGTGTTGTAAGGGTATAGGTACGGCTTGTAATATTTACAGAACAGCGTGATCGATTTTTGGGAGTCTTACAGTGGTAACCCCAAAAACAAACAATCGGTGATAAGACCTTTGTATGTATGTACGTATGATAAGACGTTTCATTCCACATAGTGTAATCTTAGATTTATTAGTACTCGCACAAGTGGATGGAGGAGGATATGTGGAAGACTCCAACTAGTAGTAGTGCGAATGCAATTGTTTAAACATCATTAGAGCCTGCCCATTGACAAACCAATATAACAATAGGGCATTAATAACATTTACCGAGCCGAGAGCGTGCTTGACAAATAAATAAACAAACGACCACTCGAGATAATGAAATTTCGTGGGGAAGAAAAACAACAGAAACAACAGTAAATGCCGCAAAGTGTTGAAGAGGGGCGCCGAGAGCGTAAAAAGTTCCGAAGCTAAATCGTGGAGCTTCTAAAGCTTTTTGCCAAAAATACAAAGAGAGCGAGCCAGAGGGAAAGAGAGAGCGTTGCGTTACCGTGTAACAGTCGCAGTAGATTTTTATCTCCGTTATATTATTCCATTCAGTCCATTCCATTTATGATATTTAGCTCTCTCTCTCTCTCGGCGCCGCTCTCTCTGGAGCACCATCACTCAAATTGAGTGAGATGCCTGCTTCGTCCCTTAAAAATCACACTCAACGGAATAGGAACCACAAACAAATCACTCAACAAAGCCACTCAGTTCTCTAGGCTTCGTTTTCTCTCGGCTCGGACGGTGGGTATATTGGTGGGCTTGCCTCAATCTTTCAATATTTTCTCGGCCGCGGACAACGACACAACAAAAATTTGTTTTAATCTTGGCGGTTCAGAAAGTTAAAAAATATCAATATTGATAAATTCGCGAAAAAACATCACATACAAAAATATTATTGAAATCTGTACGAATATATGTTTAAGATTCCTTTCCATGATGCTTCATGCTTCGTGTTTCGAGCAGCAGGCAACCACGTAGGCGGCAGTAGTTTTCAGTGCGCAAAATACAAGCGAATTTCAGATAAAGCAAAACGAAGACTACTCCAATTCCATTTCAAAGGAGAGCCACAGGCATCAGAACACCAGCACACCAGCACACCAGCACCAGTACCAGTACCAGAGTGTTTCTCTTTCTGCCTTTGTGTTGGCCAGCTCTCAAACAAGCACACTCGCACAGCCACACACTACACACTCATACCAAACCACACATACATAGATGTATATGTATATGTAGATGCCTGCATGCATATGGCATAACATAGGCAGAGGAAGATATTCATTAGCTGGATTTTCGAATTCCTCAGTGCCCCTGCCCGGTGACAAAGTGAAGTGAAACCGACAGAAATCTCTCCTAATACTAGTATGAGTAGTATCTTGCAGTTTTCGAAAACTAGCTGAGCGAAATATTGGAAATATTTGAAAAAAATTAACGCAAACAGTGACATGTTGTGAGAGTGGAGTGAAATACCTTCAGCATCTACAGCTGGTAACAGCGCACAAAGGTGAGTATTCGAGCGAGCAGGCGGGATATATTATATATCCCTCCAGCATTGTTTTGAGCCCCGAACTTTTCCTCCTTTTCACCATTTTTTGTTGTTCGATTTTCGCATTTAACGATTTTTGATGAGCTCCGTGATCCGTAAAGTCTTCAGCAATTTGGGGCACGCACAACAGCATAGCGAAAAAGAATGCCCCGGGCCAGGAGTCAGAGCGGGAGCGGGAGCGGTGGCGGGAGTGTCTTACAAATTCATAATTTGTCTGTTTACACAACTCACACATATGCATATACATATATATACTGATATATACACGGTCCTGGTCATTGGTATTGGTGGTTTATCGAGTGGTGCCGTCCTCTCCCTGTTGAGCTGTTTGGGGCTGCCTCAATGTCTGCCCGCTTGGCCCATTTTGAGGCCCATCCATCGAGCGACGGCGAAATGAATTTTTTTTTTTTGTGGGGCACGTAGGCTCCATAACTTCCGCTCGGTCGGCTCACGCGCACACCTGTACCCACTCTCATCGGGACACACACACACACACACAAAACACACACACTATACACAATACATGGGCATTCTTTTTGGCAACCCACACTGAGAACTGAGAGCTGGGGCACATTTAAAATTCTGATGAAAAGACACTTTTATTTTATTTTCCTGCTCTGTCTCTTGCCTCACTGCTGTGTGGCGCTCCTCTTTCTTCGCTTCCACTTTCATTTCTCTTGATTATGGTTCCCCCAAGTGGGCCACGAGTATACGTGTGTGTGTGTGTGTGTGTGTGTGTGTGTGTATGGCATCACTTTTGCTTAATTTGCAGTAGTGCTGCGTATAAATATTTTTCTAGATTTGCTGTGACCCATTCCCTCAGTCAGTCAGTCAGTCCCCATGCCATCCCAAGCCGGGGAGCTCTCGCACACAGCTCGCTTAACTCAACTGTCGATTTATCACACTTAACCCATGCATACACCCCCCATCATCATACAGCATCATCAGCCCCACGATCATCGCCCTCCTCCACAAACGGCTTATTAGATACAAACGCTGATTAGTTGCCCAGATTCATGAGATTGCGTGCCGGACCCGGCTCAGTGCAGTTCAGTTCAGTTCAGCCCTGCTCTATTCCATGCCACTCTGTTCGGCTCAGTTCGGGGGTTCGGCTTCAATCATGGGGGATTATTTTCATGTCGCATTCAAAGATACCCAGATGGGTATGGATGTGCTGTATCTATGAGAGCGCTTAAATGTGTTCAACTATTTTGCTGGGTCTATTATGCCCGATACGGCTGTTGTTTCTGTTCTTTTATGTGAACTGCATTCTAGATTGAGATTTATGTTGCATATGCAACATACAAACATACCATCACACTGCACATTTAATAACGTTTTTGTTGTTTTCCCTCTTCCGTACACAATCAAATTTATGAAAATAGACTTCAATATTTATGTATGTATTATGTATTTATGTATAAAATAATCAATTATTATAATTTTTATTCCTTTGAATGTATGTGGGATTTTGTGAGCAGTAGAATTTTCTATTAAAAATATATCAAAAACATTTCTTATCTCAAATTTTCAGTCCCCAAGAGCTCTCCTTATAGATCTTGTGGTTTTTGCATTGCAATTAAATTATATCAAATTGAGCATTTTATTATAGTATTCTGTTGATAATATTCGTTATTATGTATTTTAAGAAACAGTTTTAAACGAGAATTATGAGAGTTTTTATGGCTTAGCTTCAGATACAAAATAAACTTTAAAATATTGAATTCTGCCTGATTATTTCGCACGTTAATCCAGGGAAAACGCAGTTTATAATGCTATTAAATCTCTCTTTAAACCTAATGTGACAATAACGTGCCTTCGGGCATTGAACATTTAAATTAATTGCAAAGGAATGCCGCCGCTTGGACTTCCGGTTATCACCAGCTTATCCAATCCATCCATCCATGCCACCATTCATCCATCCATATCCATCAGTTTCGCACACAATGCATCCAATCCCCACTTGAATGCAATTATCGTCCGCTGCATAGGGCAGAGCACGCACTGTGATAGAGAGAGAGGGGGAGATGCTGCTGGACTAGAGCCAGCTGCAGTGCATGGGGGATTGGAGTTAATTGAATCAGTTTCAAAAATATGATTAACACACAAAGGAAGCCGTCTGGCGTGGGAACTCCGGCTGCAACTCAAACACGGAGCCGTGAACTCTCCGGGCTTTGTGTGTGTGGAAATCGCTCACACAAAAGCCTAGCCACAAAGCACGGAACTCGGAGAACACACACACAAAACGCACAGAACACACAAAGGAAACAGCAAGAGCGCAATGCTTAAAGCGTGAAGCACTTGAGAATTATTTTGCGTTGCCTTTCGCCTTTCGCCTTTCTCCTCTCTCTCTCTCTTATTTCCCTTATTTTTCGGCACTTGAGGGGGCTGGGTAATATTTTACGCCTCGTCGAATGCTGAATGCAAAATGGAAGCCACCAAGGAGTTGGCTCTCCGATCATGGGCCCTGCGGTCCCTGCGGGCTGTAGCACTCTTTTCGACTTTATTCGGCTTGCATTCGCTCGCTAAGGAATCGTCAACACACACATATACAAAAATACATACATTGCATATATAAATGTAGGTAAACGTATATTCTTGGCAGGAAGCACGCAAAAATATGCAAATAAAACGCCATAAAACAATGCGAAGGACAAACCAAAAAACAAACAAACAGAAGAGCATAAAAAGCCAGCAATAAAATTGAAAGAAAGGGGACAGTTTTATACCCTCGGCAAATATGAATATTGAATGAAGAGCTGAAGGAACGTCTCCGACCAGCCAAGGATTTAAATCTAGAGTTCTCGGGTGAGATTTTCAAGACTGTCGGCCGCTATATTTCCAAATACATTTTATTCGTATAACATCAGAGTAGTCTTTAAATATTGTACTGAATAAACTTGCATAAACTGTAATTGTATATGGCTTTTGGAATATTTTATTTTTCAAAAATCTATGTTTAATAAAATTAAACAATAAATACAAGTCTGACTTGTGTTATGGTGTGTAGAAATATTCATATCCCCAAAAAGGAGAAGACTAAACCCCCACATATTGCGAGGTCCCATGTTTTGCTTTGGCTCGAAAGAGTATGCCGGGATTCAAATGCAGCCAAGTGCCTGTTCCCCGGATCGGTACAGACAGGCACTCGTGGAGCATTGTAAATGGGCCCTTGCTCGACCGTTTGAGCAGCATTAAAACGCAATTTTATTGCATACCCTCGGGGGCTCTGGGGCAGCCATCATTGTCTAAGGGGCCAGCGATGACGATGGGCGATGGGCGATGTGCGATGACAGCCCCTGCCAAACCGAGCCAAACCAAAGCAGGACTCACGCAACAGAAACGGAAAGCATTAGGGAAGGAGGGCCAGCAGCTGGGGGCAGGATCGGCAAAAGGGAATTGTTTAACATTAGTTTTATGCGGTGGTTTTTATTTGTCTGTACTTTGGCTACTTTTATTGGTTTTGTTGCCGCTGCTGTTGCTGTTTGTTGTTTGCTGTTTGCTGTTTACGTACCTTCCCCCTGGTCATTGGCTGGCGATAATAACGCGATTTGTTGTCTGCTGCAGTCTCATTAGATTTTATTGGATGTACCAGAGGGATTCTAGGGAGCTGCACTTAAAGCTGTACAGCGAAACTTGTGGGGCTGGAAGTTCTAAGGAGGTTGTCTACTTTATAAGTGGAGTATATGTACAGAATTGATTCATGGATAATTTCAGACTATAGTTCTGATATGCCCTTTGATTGCTTTAAGGCCAATTTATTTTTTCCCATTATTTGCCAGCCCTTCTGGCGCTTGTTAACATCGAAATGAGCATCAGTGAATGTAAAAATAAGCTCTTATTTTCTACGCCATTTTTACAGGTAGATAATCACCTGCAAGCACACACACACACACACGCACTCACATACATATGTACGCTTTGAGCCCGGGCCGTGCACTGGGAATAAGCTGCTTGATGTGCGTGTCTCCCTGAGTGCGCGCCCGGGTGCTCTGGCGCCTTGTCCTCCATAGTCGGGCATTAAAAGTAACCCAGGGTAAAATAAAAGCAAGTGCCAAGTGTGGCACTGGCACTGGCTTTGGCTCTGGCGCGGCGCATGTGCCACTCAAAGGCAAACAAATGCGAAGTTGTGATGCGTCTTTGGGAATACGCGGCGTATGCGCGATTTTAGTGTGATTGTATACGCTCAGCCTTTGACTGTAAATCGCACAGTGCTCGCCCTTTTCGCTGTTGCTGCCACTGTGTCAATGCTTTAACATGCCTTTGCATTAAATCTGTATTACGTCCCGACTTTGCACAGCCAACCAGTCGTCAAAGGGGTATTCTCTGGACTGAAGCAGGGCAAGAGGCAGAGGGAGTGCCATTAGACATCATAGATCTATCCAATTATTGCTGAAAGGGGGAAAACAATCATTAATATATATATTCTATATATTTGTGTATATTTAATAATCATTAAATGTTCATTTACTATTTTCTACAATATAATATGATTTAAATTGTGGAAGCGCGTAATTAATGTAAATCATTATTAATGAGATGATGCCAAATGCGCTTTAAATCGCAAAACTAATGCATTAATTGGAGATTTTCGGTTGATTATATATGGGAGTATATAGTATTTATTCTTAATGAAGCCTAATTATAGAAGCCCGACTAATTGACAAGCGCCGAGTCCACATAAAAAATAAAACGCTGTAATTATTGTAAAAAAAAAATAAAAAAATTATCGATGCGTATGGCAATTAAATTTCCATTTAAGTTCCAACGCGTTTTCCACTTAATTTTCCGCTGATTGTTGTTGCTGCCGCCGTCATTTTTAGCGTGATTGCTGTCAGTGTTGCTGTTGTTGTGGCTGCAATTTGGTTGATGCCACAAATTGAATAACTCAGGCAAGTGCACACGAGTGCACACACGCCCAGTGATAGTCCCAGTCGCAGACTCCCTTCCAGGCAGCC